AGTTAGATTTAGTTGACAATTTCAGATCATCTCAGTATTTTTGTTCGGGGTAATAAAATAAATAACACATGGGTTTGTGAGTAACAGTAAAAATATCATCCCTCGTAAAAATACTGTTACCCTCGGCTGCGCCTCGGGTAACAGTATTTTCCTCGGGATGATATTTTTACTGTTACCCACAAACCCATGTGTTATTTATATACTGTTATATACTGTTATACTGTTATAAAGCTGCATGCCTCCAACCATAATATTAGAAGAAAATCAAACTTGAGGTAAAAATTTGCGCCAAAACATATCCGCTGCGTTATTAAGTAATACCGGTGTCGAGTAATTATCACACGCGTGTTACCAAGCGTGTGATTATTACGCAGGGTCGTAATTATCACACGGTTTGGGGTAGTGCCGTGATAATCAAACGGACGGTATTATATTTACACTTAATATTCTTGAATTATATATCATTTTTTATTCCTAAATGATTTCCGCGTCTAATGGTGTAAATTTTATGAAAAAGCTATGATTTTCCACCGCATAGGGCTATCTTTAAGTGTAAATATCAGCGTGCAATCTTTCGATACAGACAGTAATATAAATAATGCCTGATATAATTGAAAAATATCTTTCAGTTTAGCTTTCTTTGTCTTAAAATAGTAAAAAAAGTTTGTTTCATGGATTTCCCTCCGTTTTTTATTAATATTTGTCCCCCTTTTAAGTTGAAATATGTTAAGTCTTATTTGTTGCGCTTTGTGTGTTTGCATGCATTTAAAGATAATAGTAAAATCCAAAAATAAATGAAAAGAATAAATAATTAAATACATAAATAACCAAATAACTAAATAAATAAATTAATTAAAGGAAGAGTCGAAATGGCAAAGATCTAGTTATAGTAATAGTGTGAGAAAGGGTAAATATACGGAAAGCAGAGGTTCATGAAGGTGTGAATTCTTTTTTAATTGGCAATTTCCATAATACATGCATTTGATGGATCAATTTTATCATACTCTTCGGAGATTTGGGTCTATAATAAGTCCAAAGACATAGAACGTATACACATGAAATTTTGTAAAAGAATTTTAAATGTTAGACAAAATACATGTAACGCAAGCGTATACGGAGATTTAGGTAGATTTCCTCTTTTCATAAATAGATATGTTAGAATTATAAAATTTTGGTGCAGATTGTTAGTTACAGATAATATTATCTTTCAGACGGTTTATTAACAAAGTTTATACGATTGTCATAAAGGTTGTAATGATTGGGTTACTGATATTAAGAATATGCTTGATATGTATGGGTTTTCCGATTATTTGTTAATATTAATAAAGTTGATACTAAATTTTTTCCAAGATTGTTTAAACAAACACTGTTGGATAATTATAGACAAGAATGGAATACAGCGATTGAAAACAGTTTAGTATTGGATCTTTATAAAAGTTGTAAAACAACACTATTATATGAAAATTACTTAGATATTTTACCAAAACACTATCGATTTTTTATTTCAAGAATGAGAATGTCAGCTCATTCACTGAGAATTCTAACTGGAAGGTATGGTCAAAATAGATTGCCACGTAAAGAAAGATATTGTCTTTGCTGTAACAATGTTGATATAGAGGATGAATACCATTTCATATTGATATGCCCATGTTTCTTAGAAATTAGAAAAAAGTTTATTAAATATTACTACTAAAAAGGGCGCACCATGATAAAATGTATCGAAAAAAAGTTCAACATAACATCCGGTAACATCCAAATTTCAATTCCAGAAAAAAAATGTGAAAAAATTGCTAAAGAAGGTTAAATCACATGACAAAAGCCTGCTAGAAATGTATTAATTGGATTTGGTACAATTTGTGATTGGTAAAAAGCCAAAATTTATCCTTAGAAACTATCTGAGTCTGTTATAGACACATATTATAATTCATCCGTAATAAGATACATCTAAAATGCGTGAACTTGCGTAAACAAACCATCTCTTAATATATACATATGAAGATCATAGCTTGAATTATATCAAAATATGTAATGGGTCCACGACCTAGACGTGCAACAGCAGCAGTAAGTTCTAAACCCGATCTGAAACAAATTAGAAGCAGATCATCCTCAACAAAAAGAAAGGTTTCCTCGCCCGAAGAGCACAATAATCAAGATAAGAAATACAAACAAATTCAAAACTGTCAATCAGTTGAAAACCAAAACAAAACATTTACCAAAGTTGCTAATATTGAAAACGAAACAAAACAAAAGTCAACTAAAATGACGGAGAATATAGAAAATAATCAAATCTTAGACAATACAGTTAGTGAGTTCAGTTCCACAAGTTTTAACAATGAGAGTCATAACCCTGTATCACAAATGGCGATGTTTCCTCAACAAATTTATAGTATGGGACCACCAATGATACCTCATCTCCAGAATCCACTCCTAATGTCATCCCCTATATGTAGTTCTACTAACAGTAGCCCTCACTCAACCAATGTCTCAGATCAGGATGTTGAGAAAATTGCATCAGTTTTAAAAGAGGTCCTCAAAGATGAGATACAAACATTAGTTAATATACAAGTAGCAAATGCAACATCTGAAATGAAGTCTGAAATTAACATACTAAAGAAAGAAATTGAAATTTTAAAATCTAAAACCCTAGACCTCAACACCAGACAAGAAGAAGCTGAACAATACAGCAGGAAAAATAATGTTAGAATAGGTAATTATACAGAGAAACAGAGTGAGAACGTAACAAACATTGTGATAGATATTGCAAGTAAAATTGGGTCAAAATCAGACATAGACAACTGTCTAAGACTAGGAAAAAGGAAATCAGACAGTCAGAAAGCTAGAGATATCATTGTAAAGTTCACTAGTTACAGAGCAAAGTCAGAATTTATCAAAGGTAGAAAAAAGCTAAAAGAGAAGCACGAAAACATCTTTATCAATGAGGATTTAACTAAATACAGAAGTGATATAGCTTATGAAGCAAGACTTCTGAAGAAGGACATCCACTCAAGTATAATAAGTGCATGGACCTTCAATGGCTATATATATGTACAAACAAAAAATAATGAAGTTCAAAAAATTACCAAAAAGGAAGATCTTATAATGTTTAGTTAAATATCTAAATAAGATAAAAACATGAGTACACAGACCATAGGCTTGTGACATTACAAAGATAGTCTTAGACAATATGTCTAAAATAGATTATGCAAAATTATGAACAATACAACCAGTTAACTTTGATGAGGCAAGTACAAGGATGGCCATAGACTTGTTTATACTGAATGTGAAATATAAATGTATATGAAGACCTATGGTTATGATAAAAATATGTGTAATTGTGTGCATGAATATACATGTCTGTAAAATATGTGTACATCTATCATTATTGCATCTGGTATGAGTTTGTGTATGTATATGTTGTACATATAAATTAAATGTTTTGAACAAGTCTATCATGAATATATAATGAAAGTACTATTTGATGAGTGTGCATAAGTAAATGTTGTATACATGTATATGAAATTAATGTATGATAAGACAATTATGATTATATTATGAAAGTACTTTTTGTATAAGTTTGTATGATGTTTATAATAATCTAATGTTTGAATAAGTCAGTTATAAATATATATTATGAAAGTACTAAAACAAACAGGTATGACACATAATACAAATTATATGGTAAATAACAATTAAAAAAGAGACTATGTATATAATCACATGAATTTGTATTTACATGTATATAGGTATGTATAAAAGTATGATAGTACATAGCTGATTTTATATGTATGTATATGTATGTGTATGTATATATATATGTATATGTGTATATAGGTTAGTGAAAAATATTTGCATCTACAAAATACCTTTCAAAAACACTGGATCCAAAGAAGGATACAAGAACGTGGAAAAAAACAATAAATTTGGAGAAAATAAACGTTCATACAGTGCTAAAGTATAAATACCCAAGTACTTTCGGCGTATTATGCCTTCATCAGGGGTGTTTTACATGTATAATGTGCACACAATCGAGCACAAAATCTCAATACGTGTGTACTGTATAGTATCAAAAATTGAACTGAAACACAGTCGCTAGAAAGGTGATAAAATTACATCGATTATGAATAGACCGTTATTGAATGGTCATTGTGTAGTACTTTACAAAAGAGAATATAGCCTGCGGTCAATATGGCATAAGCTCGGTTAAATGTATCTATAAAACTTTGTTTTAAAGAAAAAAAATGTATATAAACTAAAAAAATAATAAAACTTCACATATAAGGGCGTTTTGTGTTTTTATTACTATAAGTATGATGTAAGAAAATGCAAGTTACAAACAGTATGATGTTATATGAAGTGGAAATTTACGATAAGGTGAAAGTAAAAACGAAGCTCTCAGGCAAGGGAAAAATAGCCCTCCCCGACACCGCCTGATGACTAAAGTTAGGTTTTAAAGTTTGTCAAGAATGGGCGAGAATAAGTGTGTAAATTAGTCTCCTTTATTGATTCCTGATGGCTCTAACGTATTCAGTCGGCAGATCCAGTATGTCTCGCGTGATTTCCGTGTTATATCTGACCACTTTGTGTTATGTTCAATACAACAGAGGGACATGTCTTTAAAACTGTGTCCCTCAAGGTGAAAATGTTCAGCAACTGGGGATCTGTTAAATTTTCGCGTTTTCCAGTCAGAGCGGTGTAAGTTCATTCGTTTATTTAATGGAAGTTTGGTTTCACCGACGTATTGTTTGTTACACACTTTGCAAGAAATAAGATAAATAACGTTAGCCGTTTTACAATTCATTATGTCTTTGAGAGATGTTTTGGCGCCTATTTTTAAAGAGAATATTTTTGTAAGGAGCATGACAGCACAGGTTTATATGTATATGTGTATATATATATATATATATACATATATATTTGAAAGAAAGAAAGACATGAGCGAGAAATAATACATAGCACGAAATAATACATAGCACGAAAAATCGGCACGCCGCAGCCGGGACTCGAACCACGGGTCTCTGGATTGCCGGTCCGGTATGCTAACCACTACACCACACTACTATCCAGGAAATTGAGACAATTCGATAATTATACTTAACAACTTGCAACATTACATCATAAAAAGGTTACCATGTTTATTCGTGAAGAGAGACGTAGTGTCTAGTGTCCGTAACTTCATAAGATATTACAACGCTAGTGTATAAGCTCTAACCGTCCTATTTTATAAACATATGTTCTTCTATTCAGCAAATTAATCTTAAAGACATGCAATACCCTCTAAGAAAAGTATTTTCATTTTATCACAACAAACATCACCATACATGGATTCAATTAAATTTAATTCACACATAATATATACAAAAATATGAGAATCGTAACAGTACAGTGATATATGCTCCTCCTACTTTTAATGTCAAATATATCATGTATAATAAACTATGATCTTATCCGGATCACATGCAACAATTAAACAGCTTTTCTTGTCATCATACAACAATGATGTTAGATTAACCAGACCAGCATCTTTAACCACCAATTCTCCCAGACATTTACTATCTCTATCAAACATCATGATGTTGTTTGAGCTATACCCAGAAATAAACACGGTTCCGTTGTTGGCTACACATACACCACGTGTCCAGACAAGCCTTTTATCTCTCAGTTCTCTCTTCACCGTCATATCTCTGTTCAGACAGACAGCACCATCACTATAATCTGTTACAATAACAGTATCTCCGCTGACAGCCATTTGCTGTTGAGATGATTTAAATATGTGTTGACCATTGACAGTATATCTGACAGACGACTTTATCAATGTGCCAGTCATATTGTATGCATTTACACCATTTCCATCAGATACCCACAATTCTCCATCACAATATGTCATTCCCCAGTAACCTCCACATGTAACAGATATATCTCTCGCCTTAGATAATGAGCTTCCTACTGATATAAACCAAACTTTGTTGTTGTGCAGTTTCACAGCGACCTCAGTATTACCAGTACAACAGATACCTGTGGGATATGATTCTAGATCCAAACAATCATTAATGTCATAATTCACATCAAGCCTCTTTAGCTTCATATTATTTCTATCAGCCAGTATGATTGTACCGTCTGCAAGTTGACATATATCACTGATGTAGCATTGATAACGGTCATTTTTCATTCTGATATTAATCTTCTGTGAAATTACTTTATACAACTTTAATGCTACCTGACTGTTGTTTTCTGTTGTCTTCTGAACAGACCCTAAAGATGTTGACGCAATGATTAAAGATTTTAATTTCGTATTTTCCGTAAAGCGCAAAAACTGACAACCTTTAGCCTCGCTTTGTTTAAAAACTTTCAAAGCATTGTTTACAGTCTGTTGTACCAGTTTTGTCTGTACAAATTGTTGCCTTATATTCATACTGTCGGCTGTCTGTAACTGGTTGTTTGCTTGCTCAATTTCTTGTTTTACTTTGCTAATCTGAGAAACATTTGTCTCAATCTCATCTTTGACCAACGAAAAGTCTGAATACAGAGCTTCCAATGCTTTATGCTTCAGCTTACGGATATGTTTAAAGAATTCCTGCTCAATCCCCTCTATCTGAGAAATAATTTCGTTTCTTTGCTTCTCAAGGCTACTGATGTTCGTCTGCAATTTCTGGTCAGTGTCATCTAAACGCTCTTGAATAGTTTTCATGTCCGTCTTGAGTCGCTCAATTTCTTGTATCTGATGTGAAGACACGTCTTCTAAATTTGACACTCCATTGCAGGATCTGAATTAAACAAAATGTCATATTCATAAATGTCATTACTTTTTAATTGATTTTCATATAGTAATTTAATGTTTGTTTTGAATTTCTTTAACGTTGACTGTAAAGTTCTTTCTTTGAAAAGATGGGCATCTCGGAATTCATGAAATTCTGGAAAAATTGAGATATCTCGAGAGCAATATAACAAAGCATAAAAGTAAAAATTTCAGGTTCGATTTGCATCCGTTATTGTCCTGGCGATCGTTATCTTTTCTAACTTTTATTACATTTTAATTTATTATATTTCAATGCTCAAAGCACTTTTTGTTTAATTATCAAGGCATTGGTCCGACGTATAAAAAATATGCCCTGTATGATTTCCTTGATTCATATATTTCTATTAATAGCATAGTGGTAGAGCCCCAAAAAGATAATAAAATATATCAACAAACCTGTGATTATCAATAATACATTTCATACAATAGACCATGTCATGTGCTCCACAGTACATTTCAATGTCACGATCTGGATGGTAACGACATTTTGTAACCATGGTTACCGCAGTACCATTTGTTGACGCATCACAATTTACTAACGTATGTGACCGTGTAGCTTTTTGTCGACCATGATGTCGTGTGCATGATGTACACAGATATTCCTCACATACAGGGCAATACTTTACAGCTTCTTCTCTGACATCATCTTCCCCACAAGGTGAACACGTGTACTCGAAATCAGCATCTGAGCCATCTTTTATTGAAGTCAAATTTCGACCCTCAGCCATGTTATATTGTCGTTCTCACTTCTGTAATATAGGAAGAGAATAAAATGTGCTTATAAATTTAGCTTTCATGTGCACCGGTTATGAACACATGTAAATTAAACGTGGTCGGTGGAAAATCATTTTCTTTGCTTATATAGATAGGTTTTTGAGGATGTAAGTTACGGAAGTACTACATTAAAGTACAATCTGTGAATTGATGACTTTATAATTTAGATTGGAGTATCTACTTTGATATATTTTGATATATTTTTGAAGTTGTATCATAGCGCTATCAGTTCGCTGTTTTGAAAAAGTATACTGCACAGAGAAAGTAACGCGATTATGAAAGGTGAAGTAAAGAAAGTGGCGGAGATTAAAAGTTCTGAAACCCCAAATAATAATAATAATAATAATAATTTTATTCGGTAAAAGTGTACATGACATGGCAATGACATAATGATGCATAATGATACAATACATATAACAATAATCAAAATATTAAAGAGACTAGAAATATCACATGACATAAGTATACGACAAGATATAAATATATGAGCCATGTAGTGCCCACCAATACCAGGGATAACACAAAAAAGAGGAAAGGATTCCTCTTATTTCCATTGTGGTCCCTGATATTGGAGGCATGACACAGAAAGTCATGTTAATTTGTATGAAATTGAAATTAATTCTTTTACTAATAAGACATAAATTGCAATAATTTAGTTGAGATCACAATATATCACAGTCCAAGTTTGTATCACATTAAAATCACAGTTCAAGTTTGTATCACATCAATAATCATGAAATAGTGCATCACAGAAATTGTCAGTCAAACTGTAAAAATTTAATAAAAATATTATATAACGTTAAATGTGCAAGCTAAAAATGGGTAAATTACTAAAGGACACAACATATGTGTGTTGTGCTTAAACTTAAGAATAAGTAAAATCTGGGACTCTATTAAGACTATTAAAAGATTCAAATACTTTTGAAAAATAAACTAAAATTAACTGGCCATTAAATGGGCTTTGATGGCATGCTTGAAGGTGTGGGAAGATTGAATATCTCTAAGATTTTGAGGAAGGCCGTTCCATAGTGAAATACCATTAAAAGCAAAAGATTTTCTACCAAAGCTTCCAACCTTTGGTAAAGAAAATCGTCCTGTGTCACTAAAAGAATAGCTTACACAGGAATCTGATGTTGAAAGTGCAGACACTCTAGACCTGGTACAGCGGTCATGGACCTGATTAAGGGGTACAAAATGCTCCTTAAGGTATTTTTTAAATAGAAGAGGGAGAGGTGAGACTTTAAGCCTAGGTGTAGATTCTCCCCCGGTCACATCCAGTAAGCCTGGTAAAAAGAAAGTGAATACAGGTCAGAGTCAACAAAGTTTGATTGATATTCTTCAAGCTACTGAGCAGGACAAAACGCAGTTCGACGTTAATGATGTTTAAAAAGAAATAAAACTTATGAACACTAAACTTTTAAAAATGGATAATGCTATTTCAAGTATGAATGATAAGTTCAGTGAAGTGATGATGAAAAATGACTCCGAGATTAAAAACACTTTTAAAGATCTTTTTATTGAAATGAAAGAAGAGCTATTGAAATCTGTCTATAAGAGAATAGATGTGCTAGAAAGTAAGCTGTTTGACAAAGAAATTGAAAATAATCAGTTAAATAGTAATATGAAAGCATTAGAATCAGAGTTTGAATTGCTGAAGAATGAAAATGCTTAGTTAAAAAAATTGATTGAAAGAAACTATGCCAATAGACTAGAGAAAAAATGAGATGGAGCAGTGTAGCAGAAGGAATAACATTTTGATAAATGGAATTAAAGATACTGATCCAAATGAAGTGACTAAAACAACGGCTGAGAAGGTAATTAATGTACTCAATCAACAGAAGATAACAGATGGTCTCTCCATGGCTGACCTTGACATTGCTCATTGCTTGACATACTTCCCAATAGGAAAGGATCAAATAGGGACATTACTGTTCGGTTCATGTCTAGAAATATGAAAGAGGATATTCTCAGAAATCTGAGACACCTTAAAGGTACTGGGTTCTTTATTAATGAAGACCTAACATTACTGAACCATAGAGTTTTAATGAGCATTAAGAAAAAAAGAGAAGACCTTGTGGCTGATGTATGGACAAAAAAAACGGAAAAATCCTTTTTAAGGATAAAATGGATAAGATCCATCATGTACAGTACGGAGATTATAAGAAATGGCTCGATCTACCTTGGCCAGTATAAACATTTTTGGACGCGCTATCTTTTTCGCTAACTATATTATAATGTTTTTTCTTTTTCCGCACAATTGAGCAACGCATTGTGTATTGATGGACAGTGGTTTATGGTGCATTATTGATAGTAAACGCACTTGACTTCAGACAGTTTTAGAGCGATGTTAACTCAGTGATCATATTCTTTTGCTGTTGAATAAATGAATAGTTAGTATATTATTTTTGAAATATTGAAATAAAATACCTACTTACAAAGTGTACTA